GCAGCATGGGGAAACAAATCTGCTTAAATGGGGTTAGTAAAAGCTGCTTGCGCTTCTTCCCCCCCCCCCCCCCGTTTTTTTTTTCCTTTTTTCTCCCCATGTGCAGGCAGGGCTTGAAAAGATAGCAGTAAGTTTGGAGGTGGGATGGGAGCATCCCATAATCCTGCTTAGTGCCACAATGCTGGCAGATGTAAACCTTTTATCCTTCCGCAGGACAGGTCCACTAGTGACAGCCATAGTACTTGATAACTGGTGACAGAAAAAGGCAGCCGTGAAAGTCATTATTACGAAACTTCTATGATGCAAAAAGCTAAAAACTGGAAAGGAGGACCGGATATTTATGCAAAAATAGAGTATACAACCACAAAATGCACTGCGGAGTTTTTAGACCTACCCGCTAATGCCAACTTTCTTTGTGAGGAAGATACTCCAGAACTGTTTGGTGCGGTGGCACCCCACCACTCTGGCAGTATCCAGTATCACCATGTTCAGAAAGACAAAAGATACTGTGTGAGCTGAACAAAAGAAAACACTGTTTTACTGCAAGGGCCATCAAATGCTAGTATAAATCATCCAGACAGTTTGTGGAGTCTGCATCCTTTGAGATGTTCAGAACCTGGCTGGACATGGTCCTGGGCAACCTGGTCTAGCTGATCTTGCTCGAGCATGAAGGTTGAACTAGATTATCTTGAGAGGTCCCTTCCAAGCTCAATGATTCCGTGAGCTGCAGCACAGGTACTATTTTAACAAGTCAACTTCTACACTGCTACTTTGTCTGCTCAGCAAAGAAATCTGATTAGCACCCTGTCTTACCTCCAGTTATTTCTACAGGTCACAAACTAGACTTGGCAAAACATTTGACTTAAATCCAGCAATTGTATGAAAGGATCAGTCCCTTATTGAATATACACATTGTCATTGAGATGTAATAAGAGGAGAATAGATGGACTGGGGCAGATGAAAAAGTTCTTCCCACCTGGTATTCTTTGTCTTTTAGAGGCAGGTGTGTAAAGAAAACTATGTTGGAGCAGGGTGCATGTAGAGCAATCCTTCATCAGGTCATAAACTCCCTGTGTTTGGCACTCCAAGGTTTACTGAGGTGTACCTTCCATCTGGACCATTAGCTTTAAAGGCTGCTGATGGACCCATCCTCCAGGAATTAACTTAAGCGTTTTTTAAAGCTATTTATACCTTAGCCAAATCCTCTGAAATCTCTTGGCAGTAAGTTTCATCATATAATTACCTGTTTAAGAAAGGAAAAAAACCCCTGCAAATCTGTCTTCCTTCTTGTGTTTTAAATCTGCTTCCTAATCTGAGTCAGCACTCATTCTGCTCTCCCTGCCTACCCCTGCCTATTTCCTGTCCTGTAGCTGCGTCTTCGCTCATTCTGTTAACTAGCACGGACTAGAACAATGCGACTGTGTGCACATCAGTGTGGGAGAAATGCCACCTCTGCTGCCAGCAGCCAGGACAATCTCTGTCCTGAGTTTTGAAAGCAGGAGCAGCAGCTCTGGGATAGAGACCCAAGAGCTGAGAGGTTACAAGCTGTGTATTTACAACCCATCCGATCTTCACAGGAAGCATGCGTGTGTATAAGAAACAGACTCATACTGATGCTAATACCATGTCATAATGACTTCTGCAACCTCATGCCACAATCCCACTGCACAAGTTTAATTACAGAATAAATCTGTAACTCCATCTTAGGCCATCGGTCCTCCTTTATATATGCCTTGGCTGTGACTGAAAGCTGACCTTGGGAGAGGCTTCATCAACATTAACATTAAAATATGCACAGTCCACAAATGGGAGCATGTTGCAAGCTAGCAAAATGTTTCATGCAGATACACTTTGCTCAGTGACTCACCCTGTGCTTGTATAATTGTCCTAGGCCATGCACGCACATATGCCAGCCCATCCATCTTTCTACTAGCATGTTACTACAATGCTGTACAGTTCTTGCAGAAAACAGCTTTCTCCTGCAAAGATGGCCTACTGTGAAGTTTCACATCTGCCAGCATGTGGATGAAGATGGACCCGGAGCAAGAGTAAGCAACTTCATTTTAGATTTCATTGAGTTGGAAGACACTGCCAGTTTGCAGGTGAGCATCAGTGAAGGATTTTGCTTCTCCACCTCACACTAGCTTCTAAAGTGCCAGTAGGAAGGAGAGACTAAAGTGTGGTGAAGGTGCTGAGATTCACAACTTCTTGTTCAGCTGCCGCTGAACTTCATAAGTTTGGCAAACTATCTGGCTATTGGTATAATTCCTCTTGCTTAAACTTTATCTTAGATTCAGGAAAAAAATGTATTAGATAGCTAATCACCCAGACAGGTTCCATCGTCAGCAGGTACACACAAAGGGCAGCTCCAAATGCCTATGACAAAGTACGCATCAATTGAAAGGGATTTGCAGACACGTACCTTCAAGACCCAATAGGTCCAAGCTATGCAACTCCTAGACATCCTCTGGAGTCCAGCCTGCAGAGAATTGGCCTTTAATGTGTCTTTTTCTTTCTTTTTTTTTTTTTTTTTTTTGGTCCTCCAGACATGCTGGTGGATTGTGCTTCTGACAATCCTCACTTCGGTAGCAACTGGTACTGACTTCCTTTTTGCAAGAATGCTTTCATAGCAGCAAAGGCAAGAGACAACTGCAGATAACTGATTAGCTGCTTCTGTTTCGTGCCTTTTCATGTCCTGGACATAGCTGGAGAGGTGAAGAAGTAACATGCGCTAACAGCATATGTACCTTATGGCCTGTTCCTAGGGAAACCAAACCAAACCAAACAGCTCACAATGCAGAGGAGGCCAGCTGCGGTGCTGTAGGAGCTGTGGAAATTGCTTCCCAGCTACTTTGTTAATGCTTTGAGGGTGAGCAGGACACATGACAGGACTGAACACATGCATCAAAAGCATTTTGGAATGAATTACTGTAGATATCCTGCTAATGAGCTACTTTACTTTGACTTCTAAACCTGCTGTGTTACATCCTTGTCCTCCATCCCGAGAAATACCACTGTGATAAAACACCTCTTCAGCTTTTATATCATGTGCCCACTCGTATTTCCACCAGGAAAACAAGATGTTAGTACCTAACCCATCATGATATGGACATACATTTTTCTCACATTAAAAAAAAAAAAAAAGTCCTCAGAAAACTGATGGCAGGAGCAAGTTCCCAGGAATCCATTTTCTGCCCAGGTCTTAATTTAACTGTATGTTGCACACTGCTGTTCTACCAAAAAAGTGTTGACTGCCTCTTCTACAGAGGTCTACCACCAGCGAACAATTTTCTCCCTGCTAACTCTGGTTCTTCTCCATATGTCCCCAATACATGGTTACATGTTCACGATGGTCCCTGCCAGAGTGAAATTTACTCCATTTCTTGCGTTGACTTGATAGCTAGTTGCTACTTCCAGCATCTTCTGGACCTACTTATATTTTGGCAGGGAACTGAGAAGTGCACTGTAATCTTTGCTCCTCCTCTTCACAGGAGCTATCGGTCTCCTGTGGGAAGAAGAGGCGGATAGCAAGAGAATATTTGTGCTTTCTGGGAACCTCCCATCCCGTCTCCTCTTTTGTATTGCTTCTCATCAGCAAACAAGGCTTCTGGTTAAAAAAAAAAAAAATCACATTTCTGTTTTTATTCATGCAAAAACTAGGAGAAAGTCTGGTAGGAAAACATAGCTTGAAGTCTCTAAGCATTCAAAAAATAAAGAAATTAAAAAATGTCCATGCAGATTGCAAAGTTATTCAGTGGCCAGCTGTGGGTTTAGCTTATGTTCATATACTTGTTCATAGCTCAGCCACAGAATAGCACTGCTCCATTGCAAAGAACTTACAAAACACATAGCTGCAGTCAATGGGCTCTGTTCCTGAGGTACCTCTGCCTAATTCTTCATGGGGGCACTAGGTTTAGATGAAGTAGGAAATCCCTCAGTCTCACTCTCCCTTCCACGGGGACTCTGCTGTGATTGGAGATCCTTCCCATTTCCATTTTCTCTCTCGCTTAGTTGCCAAAAAGCTTTACACACAGAGGTGCCAGTTTCTTAGAAGTACTTCCAGCCCTATTTTACAGGCGTTTAAAAAAGCTAGCAGACAGAATACTTTAAGTCAAGAGACAAACTGAACCCACTTAGTTTTATCCAACAGCTGGTAAAATTTAAAACCTAAACCCTTGCCTCCAAATAACCTATGCTGTGGAGCTGGGAATTCAGATACAGGTGTGAATTTAACAGTGCTACTGGTCATTGACTATGCACCCAAGGGCGTATTTGGATCAGCTGCTGGAAGAATTACAGTTAAACAGTACTGTGATTTTGCCGTTCAAGCTCATGTACTAGGAACACTGGCAATGCCCATAGGCCAAACAGATCGGGGCGGGGGTGTGTTAAAAGTTTCCTATGACTTCCTAGAGTTTTGCATAACAGACTTATAACCTCCCTTCTACTACACAGTCATCAACAAGTACTGCAACTAGCACTGGCTACTCCCAACTGTGTGACAAGTCACAGACCACTGGGAAGCTGCTTTCACATCAAGAATGTGCTCTTTGTCTGAGAGGGGCACTCCTTCCTCAGCTAGCTTGAAGACAAGTGCTTTGTCTTCAAATGACACCTTTTACTGTTACCTTGTTTGTTTTTTTTTTAACTCTAGTTGGCTTGTTTTGAATTAGATGGCATTAACCTTTAAGATTAATTCAGCTTTAGAATAATCTGTTTAGTTAGCAAGCTTGACAGCTTTAGAACAGGGGCTATACCTCAGCATATGGCCATCACTTCATTACAACTGATCCATGATCTCTGCTGAAGCCTTTCATTACCGGTAAGACAGAAAGCAATTATTGCAGTCTGCATGCTAAAACCAACCCAAATACAAATGGAAGTTCCAAAGTCTTTTATTGTAGCCCTTGCATGGCTGAGCTGCCCTCTAGAGGGATGCACTATGCATCACCCCAAAGACAACATAGGATGGAGAGAATCATGAACCCTGGAGAATGTGTTCATTTGACAAGATCCTTCACATACTTCCAGCCTTCCACAGTGTACTCGCAGGCCCTGGTGGGAGCTACAGACAAGGCAGACATAACTGTCTGCACCCCTGCAAGGAAAGCAGAGAAGAATTATCCCAATCATCATCATCATGCAAGCCAAATTTCCTAATGTTATTCTAGCATTGTAGGTCTCTCTAAACACGGAGAGAAAAATCTATCTCTATCTCAGAAGCTTTCAAACACACTGAGGTCTGAATGATCCATGGATCAATCACAGCTTTATTGTCTCAGTAGCATTTGTGACACAGAGAAATTCCAACTTCAGGACCAGTATAAGGGATAAACAATTGCAAGACTGAAAGAAAGAACTGAGCTAAGTTCCATTTTATTTCTGGCCTTGCTACAGACTCCATGGGTGATGTTAGACATGTCACGACACTTGCAGACCATGTTTCCCCACAATTACATGAAGACTTTTTGCTACACCATAAAAAATATAAATTAACTTACTAGGTATTTATAACATGCTTTGGCCTTCAAAGAAGATCTCTAAATCTCTAGCAATAATGGGAATACTCATCCCTCTGGAAAAGTCAGAGGCCGAGTTCAGACATACTACCATCTGAAGAGTTTACACACTCCTCAATCTTTACCCAAAGGTTCACCTTGCTTAAGTCATCGTTTATTTTTATGCTCTAGTTTCTCTGACTGCTACCAGTGCTCATGAACTCACTGGTGCATAAACTCTAACTATTTGTTATGGGGGCCACAGGCCTCCTCAAACACTTCACTGAAACATTCAGTCTTAGATTCTAGGACAGCGTAGGCATGCCTGTCTTGGGGCACAGGTGGGCAGCAAGCTTTGTAGGTAAAAGAAACATCAGCTCCTCTGGTTAGAAAAGGCAGGCACGTTTATGGGCACTCATGCTCCTACTTACTTCACAGCTGGAACAAGAAATTAAGTCCAGAGTCACTCAGTGTGCTACTGGTAAAACCTGGAGCACAATACGCTTCCTTAGTCCCAGTCCCAATGCTCCTTCCACCAGACTGTAACATCTATCACCTCCTTTTCTGACATTCAGTTTAGGAGGACAGTATTGAAACAAGACTGCTATAAGCTACATCACTCTTGGCCCCTTGCTCCTTTCTCAGTTTGTTGAGAAGTTATTTTACCTTTATTCCAGTAATCAGAGGGGGAAAAGTCAAATTTTGGAGCGGGTGGGAGCTAGAAAGAGAAAGACAAAATATCAGCACTTGAGGGGTTTCACTTGTAACAGGATTCACACCACCTTGGAGAAGCCTCTTGACCTCAGATCTCAAAGATACTTAAGTGCCTACTCTCCCTAAGTCTCAAAAGGCATCAGACATGAGGCTTAAAGTCTGGACTTTGTTCTTCCCCCCAGTATAAAGTAGGGGCAGAAGGCAGTACTTATCTTTTGGGTGCTCCTGAAAAATCATCTCCATGGCTGTCTCCTTACAGTTATCTATTAGTTTAGAATAGTCTCTAATATGAAAAATGCTTTTCAAACTTTCAGCAAAGGCTTCTGTTGTTCTGAGGATTTTAAAAACTAAGAATTACTCAAACAGAAGGGCCTCTTCAGGCAATTTAAATTCAACCTGACAAACTGTTAGCAGCTTGAGATATTGGGAGGAGAATATTTTCATTAATTTTTTAAAAGCATGTAGGATCCTTCAAAAGAAACTTAGGAATACCAGTACATAGTGAAATACCTCACAGAGCATGCTTGCAATCTCCTCCTTGACCCTGCATAGGCTAGTTACCCCGTCTCCTTTGGAATAACATCTGTGAGCAATGTCTCTCCCCTAAATTAAAGATTTTATCCTCCTTCCATTTCAATCCTCTTCAAAATATTATCACTGTGAAATCCAGTTCCAACAGCAAAACTCCTGCCAGCGTCACTGGAACCAGAATATCACCCCAATGCTTTCTCCTCCTCAGTCAGAGGATGTGTTTGTTTTCCTGACTGTGTTCATCTGCACAATCTTTACCTCCCAGCCTATGTAATTTGTCCACTCTTGGATAGCTGGAGGCAGTGCTGCTTGAGCTTTTTTGAGGGCTTCAGCACCTTGTGTACCACTGCCCAGCAGTCCCTGATCATATGCCACGTATACAGCAGCTCCAGCCAGGCTTCCTTTGATGACAAACCTGAAAAAAATTAAAAGCAGCAACAGTTCAGTTCACATTATGACTATAAATGCATCTCTCTCGGTAGGCTGTGACCATCATGGGGAGGGTATTGATAAAGAAATCTGAGGATCACAAATACTCTACTGCAATGTCTTATTACAGACAACAAGCAGCAGAAAAATATCTAGCTACCTTCCCTTTCTTCCTAGGCCAACTATTCCCTGTCAGCCCCTTGAAAACATACCCATTCGTGTTTTATCGGTGACAGTTTTCAAGAAAAAATGAGAAAGTGTCAAACACCTCAGAGTATGTGCCACTTTTTAAAGTCTGAGAATCACTGGCATATACCTTTGATAAAAGGAACTAAAGGATTTTGCAGTGGGTAAGACATCCATGTTAATGATGTCGCTCTTGCTGTCTTGTTAATAAGTAATCTGATTAATCTGACAGACACCAATATCTTCTTAAGCTCATTACGGTCCAGTTAACACCTGGCCATGCCTGTTCCTGCGTTGCCTAGGCTTTTAAACTTTCCTGGTAGACTGCATGGTGTACAAACACTAATTTTACAGCTGTAGTGGCAACCTGCAAAATGGAAGACAGAAAGAGAACTATTTGACCTTATTTACTTTTTCATTATAGGTGAGAGATCTGGGGAGAGTGACTTTTTCAAATTCACAAGTCAGAGAGTCGTTTCCCGTTTTTAAAAAAAAAAACAAGCCACAAAGCTATCATACACCTAAAAAAAAAAAACACCAACCAACAACCAAACAAAAACTTGCCAGATAGCAGTACTGCAGCAGTAGAACGTGACAGATACAGCCGTAGAGAGGCAGGACCGAATCAATATTTAAATCACAACTATTTGGGGGAAAAGGGACTTATCTGTTAAAGATTTACTACTCCCTCCCAAAAGCACCTTCCACACCTCCCTTCGAGTGGGCTGTATGTCCAGATGTGAAAGTGTTCCCTCAGCAGACAAGTGCCCTTGGGCGTCATTCCCTGGTTTTATTTTACGCTTTCATGCTTGCTACGAGATAACCGCCAGACTCCCGACAGGCATCTGGAGGCACACAAAGACGCTGCCAGATGGAGGCCAAGCCTGGCACGGGGGCGGACGAGGTCAAGGGCGCAGCGCCGCAGGGCCAGGCGCCGGCAGGCCAGCA